GGTACACTTATCCAATTTTCATGTAGAAACTTTTCTAAGCTTCCATTGAAATTGGTAGAATACTCTAGCATAATTTTCAAGTTTGTATTCATCATGGACTGACATAAGTTGGAGAACTGTTGAAAGCCTTGGACTTTTAAGCAGACGTTTCATTATCGTTTGCAATTCTTCTACAGTGCACACTCATTCCTCATCAAAGACTGTATGCAGGATCTACGGGCCAAGCGGTCAGCACATTGATAATGGTCCACTAGATTGGAATTTCGTGGCGTATATTTTCCTACATTTGTTAGTTCGTAATGTACCGCCACCTAAATCCAACGCCAACGGTGAGCAGTTACCCTCTAGCCCAAATTAGCCAGCCTCAGTAATCATGATTTCTCACTAAAGCCTAAGGAAATACTCTGTCGAAGCGTGTCATTATTAGACATTGGATAGTATTTCAACCCAGTGGCTAAATGTTCAGTGTCCTCACCGCCAGACCTGACAATGGTGGGTTTGATCCTTAATGGGGTCATGTATACTCACCGTTGAGGAGACCCTTGCTAGAACGAAACAGCTGTCCAGTGCTTCCAGGCTTTCAGTGGTTTCCCAGTTGATATAAGTCTGTGATGAATATTGACCCGAAATCTATGAATCCCCATAAACCCTCAAATTGAACTTGTTTAGCTAATGACCGAGCAGTCACATGATGAAATGCTCACCACGTCCAGAACCTCAAAACTTTAGTGATGCCACAAAGTAGTAATATGAAATTTTTTTATTTAATTCATCATTTTAGTACTTGATTCTAAACCACTAAATCTGATATATACTCAATAAGCAGAGAGATACTACTTATATTTTGAATTAGTAAGCATATATCTTATTCTACACAATTTAGGAGTATCATAAGTTGTATTATCTTACTGCTAATTTATTTTCGAACTTTTCATCCCCTGATGAGCAGTTTATGAAGTGAAATATCAGTCTAGATTTTTCTTCAGTTAGTTAACATATTCTTGAATCAGGTATGTCAATTTTTAACATAAGAAAACTGATAAAAAAAAGAGGATGGCATCAGTAAGAAATGAAAAGAAAAATACGAGCAGTAGTGGTAGCAACATAGATATCATGCATAAATATTCTAATCACAATGGTAATAGTGGTGGCAAGGTTGAGAGAATTCAATGACTGCACTTTGTTACGACAAAAGGGAAGGCACTACAGTAGCTTTACTAAGAAATCTAAAAAAGGTTGGGATAAGAGTGGTATTTAAACTAACAAAATTGCTGAGAAACAAGCTTTGTTGATTAGAACATCTTTATGATTAAATTGGGTAACGAGTTCACAAGTTACTAGCAATCTAACCGCTAAAAAAACTTCAAGGCAACAAGTAAATATAAAAATTAGAATTATGTTTAATGTCCCACAAACTCGAAGATTTACGGGCAAAAACTAACAATATGACAGAAGAGGCAACGAAGACAGGACTTCAGGTGGAAGAAAGTAGAGAAGATAGATGTGATGAAGATACCCAACCAACAACCGACAACAACAACAACAACAAGCACCAATCACCATCATCTACCCATGCAGCATCGTTTCAAATACTGGCAAGGGCGATGGAGGTGGCGGTGCAGATAACGATGCAAAGCCAGCATCGAAAAGACAGCAAGACAGGCCTTCAGTAATCTGAAACCAGTGTGGAGATCTATTGCGCTCAGCATAAGACGTGAACAAGATCCGTATTTTCAAAGCTAATTCAGTCAAATCAGTGCTTCTATGTGATGGTTGAGCGACTTGGTGGCGCTTTACGAAAAGCATTTGCAACAAACAACTGCAGACATACATCATCAACAGCTGCCACCTACGCTCACTCGATACTGACACTGACACTGACACTGAAGATCAGATAGGTGTCTAGAATAATAAGAATAAGCAACAAGGAAGTCACTGTGGCTGGCAATGAACCAACCAAGAATTTATCGCCCAACAAATATGTGGAAGAAAGTGGAGATGGATTGGATTGAGCATACACTGAGAAGGACGACTGGGGACATCATGTGTCAGGTCAGACCAAGCCAGGCCCTCGAGTGTAACCCAGATGGGAAACAACGAGTTGGGCGTCCGAGGGGAGAGTGACGTTGAGGAGATGGTGTGTGGAAGAAATGAGAGCTTATGGAAATTTGTGGAGCCATGTTGAAAAGACTGGAGAGAGGAGAGTGAAATGATGACGTGCAACTAGGAACCCAAAGGACAAATAATAATAATCATAAAATTTGACTTAACAGATCCATTGAAAGTATTACGAGGTGGAATAAAGAGGTCGAAGTTGTCGAACAGGGTCTATGCACGCAATTACACACAACCACACAATACTGTGGGATAGGGTGACAATATATAAAATTGACGTATTTAGGTAAGGGAGAGCTTGGTAACCGAATCTCCATTTATCGAATCAATACCAAACACATGCTGCAACAGGGATGATTTTGCATTTATTCTAGATGTCTGGAAAATTCTACTACCCTAGTCATCACAAAGAAGGAGAAAAAACTGGAACTAAATAAACTGTGTGTCAAAGTACTGCAGTGGCATGATATGTATATGGACAATAAATTATTCATTTAAGGGGTTTGTAGGGATTTATTGGTTTCAGGTTGGTATTCTTCATGAAGTGACATCAGTTGGAGAAACGTTCAAAACCTGGAAGCACTGGACAGCTGTTTCGTCCCAGTGTAAAACTCCACAGTAGAGCAAACCTACTACCACACCAAGAATCAAACCCACAACCTTCAGGTTTCGTGCCCACCACGTTACAATTGACCTGGTGAGTCGGAATCAAGTGGTTACACGTCACCATTTCACTCTCCTCTCTCCAGTCTTTTCAACATGGCTCCACAAATTTCCATAAGCTCTCATTTCTTCCACACACCATCTCCTCAACGTCACTCTCCCCTCGGACGCCCAACTCGTTGTTTCCCATCTGGGTTACACTCGAGGGCCTGGCTTGGGTCTGGTGCGTGATGTCTCCAAATGATCTTGGCTTTGATATCCTCAGCTATGCCGCGACCTGAAGTTGAAACGATGTCATCTTGCCTCGATAGGTGAAAGAGACTGCTTCCTTCACATTTCCCCGTTCATAGTGATTGGTGCTTCTTGTTGTTGTTGATTGCTGGTTGGGTATCTTCATCACATCTATCTTCTCTACTTTAACTGGAAGTCGGTGTCGTCTTCGTGGCATGTCTCTTTAGACAGTTTGTTAGTTTTCACCTGTAGATCTTCGAGTTTGTGCGACAAAACATTAAGCATTAATCATCATCGGCGGCGAAATCCATCTTCATCTAGGGTCTTTTCATCGGTCAACACAGACTATGCCCATCTTCTCGCTCCTCACAGATCTCAGTTACATGATCCACTCCACTCCACTCCTGTCAACCACAATCACGATGATGATCAATGATGAAAGGCCACTGCCTTCTCTTACTCCTGTCCCTGTCTTCATTTCAAACGCATCACTGAGATTTCCATTGTGTTGTGAACTACTTGGCATGTAGCCTTATTATAAGGCATATAGCTGTTGAATGAGGTTGATAAATATTTGTGTCACTCAAAGCGTAGTGTTGAAGCAGCTGCCTGCGAAATTACGTCTCGATGGACACAGTCAAAGGCCGTTTCAGAATCGATGAAGTTGAGTTAAAGATCCATTTGATTGTCATTCTCTGTTGTGTTCTATGATGATGTGTAGCGTAGTGTAGCGTTGTAATTTGATGCTTACATAATTTGTTCTTCCTGACGCGAGCCAGCGAGCCAGCCAGCTAGGCAGCCGGGTAGGCAACCAGCGCCCCAGTCTGTTCGGTTGTAATTTTGAATGCAGATTATTTTTTTCGACTCTGCAGGATGATGTGGCCTAATATTTAGCTTTGAGTTCACAGATCTAAGAGCATGATTCCGCTCCAGTTCTTGTAAAGACTTGTTTCTCCGTTGTTTGTATGTTAGACAAGTTTGTCTTTTTTTAATCTGCAAGTACCTTTCCTTCCTTCGAGACCTTCTGTGTCTTGTCATTACGCTGACTGTATTTGTTAGCGGAGCTAACTGGTTCAAGCAGCCAGCCAATTTGTTAATCTCCTAGTGAAGACTTAGGATTTATTTCATCTCTGTACTATGACACAGTAATTATAATCTGCTTTGGTCACATAAACTTATATGTGATCTCAGAAAATTAAATATTTTCTTTGGTCTTAAAATGCTTACTCAGAAGTAGTACTTACGTGTGATAGTGACTTTTGTCTAGAATGGAATAAAACAATTTGGCAACTCAGTAAGAAATATTTCTTGAGAAGACAATTTTCATTGGAAAAAGTGAATATTTCACCAAAATTTTTATGAATTATGACCCTTTGAGTTTAAACTTTCTCATGATAAAAAATAGTTGAATAAAACCTATGTATATATGTATCTGGGTTGAGAATTGGTCACCTCTCTCATTGGTTGGTTGTTGCATATGGATATATACAGGGAAATGTATGGACAAACGCAAACAAATATGTTCACTTGTTATGGAATAGATGAAAATGATGGGGAGCAGTTTGATCACATCAAGACAGTCAAAAGAACAGACAGCTTACTCGTTTGGTTTGTAGAGATTTGCACATTTTTTCGCCTTAGACTAACTGTGCTTTGTTCACCTACAGACACATAAATGCAATCATAATGAAGCTCTAAACGTGTAGGCAACCATTTGCTTAATTTGTAGGATAGAATTCTTGAATGAGTAGAAAAGGTAGAGAGAGAGAGAGAGAGAGAGAGAGAGAAGGAGAAAGAGATTAGATTTAGAAACAAGGGAACACAAAGCAACGAGTAGAAGATTTATACCCTCAATGAAACAAACAAGTTTTCTAGTTGAAAATATGCCTATTTTTAACAAATGAAAAGTGATTTATATAAATATATACATATTATGTATAGCTTAAACATAAATATATCCAGATGAACAAAACTAGGACACATGTAATGGCCTTTATGGAATGAACGATATGGATGGATGTAATTTCATTAATTATGATTACTACACTCTATATGCATGTTTTTCCCCATGATTATTTTATATTATATGACTGATAATAATGAGTAGAAAAGAAGAACACTTGTAAACTCGTTGACTACATCAATTAACACTTCGATTGAAGTACTTGATAAGCATATGTGTCCAGGAGTGTAGAGAATAGATATAACAGTTGTACACAGACAGAAATATATACGAAAATAATTATTGTACATAAATATACTAATTTGCTTACAGATATATCTCAACAATTGTCTACAAATGCAAAATTATCAAGCTCAATTAAACGAATTACGGTGCAGTACATCAACCGTTTCACAGACTACTACTCCTACTCCTACAATAACTACTATTACCTCATCTTTGGATTGCTTTACTACAAGTAATGCTGTAAATACTTCTAAGAACATGTTGGATATAAAGCCTACTGAAGAATTATTAATTTCTAATACATTGGTTGGAGTAACTGCTGGAATTACCACCATCACAACAGCAGACACAACTCCTATCACAATTAATGCTGCTATCAATACTTCTATTACAACTGGTAATGTTATAACTACAGCAAATCCAATCAGTCAAACAACTACAGGTTTATGTGAAAAGGATTCATTCAAATTCTTTCATCACCCTCATCTTGGGGATACTAATCCAATAATTATGAATACCACAGACACTACTACGGAGATTGACACATTAATATCAAATCAACAGACAAATTTACTTCCATTGAATGAAATGAACAAGTCAACTTTAACTGTCCCATCTAAAATTTCAGAGTATATTCTATTGAAACCAAAACGACCATCATTAATACGTAGAAAAGCGAATATATCTGATTCAGATGCATTTGACATTATGAATACCTCTACTGTGACTACTAATATTGGAAGTATAACAACAACAACTACTACTACTACTACTACTAATACTACTAACAGTACTAGCAGTAGTAATATAAGTAGTAAAGTGAGTACACGTAATCCTAGTGCTGAATCAGCAGTTGATGAATCAAATCAATTAATTGTATCGCCAATAAACAAGGCTGACACTTCAAAATATCTTATTTATGAAATACCCATAGAAGGAAGTAAAATGAAATTGATCACTACTTCTTCACCTTTACCATTATCAGTTTCATCACCAATATCTTCATTAGACTCTAATTTATCTCATTCTACATTAGAACATTCATCTATAATTAAAACAAAGGATAATAATAATAATCTAAATAAACATAAATTAAAAGATAATGAAACAATGAATACAACTTTATCGAAATCAATTTTAATATCACCATCAAAAAAGAATGTTTTAAAGTATCAAATATCACAACCAATGAATACACGTAAACGTTCAACACGTAAACTAAGTACTTCATTATATTATAATTCTGATACAAGTTTTTTATCAATGTTAACAGCTAGTCGACCAACAGCTGCTAAAGGTTTATTAGGTGTTGCAAGTGCAGCTTTAGCAGCAGCTAGAGCTGGTACATTTTTAAACAATCCTTTTCATACTATCAGTATAACAAATACTTCTAATGGAGTAAATGAAACAATAATTAGAAATAAGTTAAATAATTTACGTAGTTCAAGATCTGTTGAAAGAAATCAACAATTACATCATTCACGATGTAGTTATTGTTGTAATGAATATTGTCAACGTGGTCAACATAAATATCATCATAGACAAATATTATCTCCATTATATCAATTCAATTGGTTAAGTGAATTATTATTATTATATGGATATAAAGTAAGACGATTCTCTGATCCAGCATTGAATATTACTGATGAAGGTATAGATGCAGCATATTTAAAATTATTGATATACATTAGTCAAAAATCACCTATGAATATAGATAATGATATGAATGATTATTATAATGATAATTCACAATTGATAACAGATAATCATCCCTTTCAAGGTCATCGTAAAACATCACTATCTGAAACAGTAGAACCTAAAACTTTAACAAAAAATGATAATTATCATCAATCAATTCAATTAACTAATTGTAATTCTCCAATCTATAATAGTTTATTAGATTTAAATATGCCTCATATTTCATCATCTAATGAAATGGGTAAATGTAATTCAACATTATTACTCAATACAAATTATTTATACAATGATGTAATAGATGAAAAGTTTAATTCTAATTTATATGATAATTATCCTTTGGATATTCATTCAAATAATACTGAGAATATACAATCAATACATCATGAACAACAATTATATCCTTATGAAAAAACATTACAATATAAATCCTCTATATTACATAAATATGATATAAAAGGAATAAACAATAATATTTCAAATATTTCTAAAACTGCTAGTGGGATAACACCAGTAATAACAACAACAACAGAGACAGTAATAACTATTCCTAGTGGAAGTACAACTATGACAAGTATTAATAAATTAAAACGTTCTGGATTAGATGCTATTGGATTAGATTTTATGCGAGCTAATGGAGCTAGACCAGGTTTGTTAAAACAAAAAAAAATCACTTTCATTTTTTCAACTTGTTATTCATTGTAGACTGATATCAGTTGGAGGAACAAAGGGAACTTGGGAGCATTGGACAGCTGTTTCGTTCTGGTATGGGACTCCTCAGCAGGGATCGAACCCGCGACCTTCAGGTACCGCGGCTAGCGCGTTATCATTGAGCCAATGGGTCAGAATCCAATGCTCCATATTTCCAACTCCTGTTAGCTCACGATATATAGCGCAACCGCCACTCAATGTCATCGCTGAGTATTTGTCCTCATGGCCATCAGGCTTTGATTCCACCGGTCACGACTTCTCATTTGAACTTCGGGAATACTGCTCGAAGCTAGTCACCAATGAGCACTAGTTCAATTAAATTTTGAGGTAGTTGTGGAGATTTGTTCCTCCAACTGATGTCAGTCTTCGATGAATAACAACTTGAAATATTTCCAAATCTCCACAACTACCTCAAAATTTAATTGAACTAGTGCTCATTGGTGACTAGCTTCGAGCAGTATTCCCGAAGTTCAAATGAGAAGTCGTGACCGGTGGAATCAAAGCCTGATGGCCATGAGGACAAATACTCAGCGATGACATTGAGTGGCGGTTGCGCTATATATCGTGAGCTAACAGGAGTTGGAAATATGGAGCATTGGATTCTGACCCATTGGCTCAATGATAACGCGCTAGCCGCGGTACCTGAAGGTCGCGGGTTCGATCCCTGCTGAGGAGTCCCATACCAGAACGAAACAGCTGTCCAATGCTCCCAAGTTCCCTTTGTTCCTCCAACTGATGTCAGTCTTCGATGAATAACAACTTGAAATAATTCCAAATCTCCACAACTCCCTCAAAATTTCATTTTTGTCTTTTTTTTTGCTTTTTCTAATTTTATATGAACTTTTGTGTACTGCTTCCTTGATACAAGATTGAATTTTTTTTTGAGGTCAGTTATAACTCGATTAGAACTAAGTAGGTGTGCATGTGTGTGTGTGTTTGTGGTAGATAGCGTAGTACAATTGGTGTGTTCTACAGTCAGTGAAGGAAACAAATTAAGATGGTATTGATGTGTTCTCTACTTTTACTGCTTACTTTATTTCTTTAAGAGTACACATTGTGCTTGATCAAGTTAAGCTCTTTAGAGAGGCCCTACTAGTTAAATACATCGAATTTCGCTATCTAGGTGGTATATTTTTATAGGAGCAAAACTTGGCCACTATAGTAGATTGTAACTCCATTTTAGTCTGTTTATTAGAAATATCACACAGTGAAGGAAAAGTATCATTTACTCAACGATGTCTAAGACGTAATTTATTGTCCATATTCATATCAGATAACTCAACGACTTTCAGACACACTTTATGTAGTCCTAATCTACTCTCTCTTTCTTTGTGATGACAAGGTTAATAGAATTTTCCATATATCTGGGATAGGTGTAGAATCATTTCGATTACTGCATGTATTTGGTGTTGATTCGACAGACGGAGATTTGGTTATCAATCTCTCACTCTCTCCACTCAACTAAGTTAATTTTTTCAATACTGTTACTCTATCCTACTGTATTATGTGATTGTATGTAACTGCGTTCAGAGCTATAATCAAACTTTTCTCTAGATTTCTTATTTAATTAGGATCTACTGATCTTGATTTAACTAAAATTTTGTATTCTGTTATTCCAAGTGACCGTGTTCAACTACTTCATTGCAAAAGGATTTGATAAACCAAATTTTTCGCCTATATTTGGATCCATAATATCTGTTAACCTTCATGTAGATTCACTGTTACGTCTTCATAGCCATGCACGATGTTGTTCTTGGATCCTTTTAGATATGGCCTATATCAAACGATAAATATACTCGACTCCATAATGGCAGATAAACTGATATAAATACATAGAGGTGACCAAAAACGAGATCCTGTCTTTCAAATCTTTTTTCAAGTAAACAGCGACTACAGAACACATATCTGATAGTTACTGCAAAGGAAATTCTCTCTAGAATGTCAGCAACCAGATCACCTTTGAAGTGAATGTTCATAAGTAGCATCTTTTTCGATAAGGAAACCGAATCGTGTTTTCGGGGGTTTAGTATGATACTTTTATCTATAAACCAAGATGGACATCCGTTTTTGATTAAACATTTTCTTAGGATGTTTATCTCTTCATCTATGACATTCCGGATGTAAATGTGTTGTAAGTCAATAGCGGCAGATAATATAAAATTCCTCTTCAGACAGCTGTAGAAATTTGTCAGTTGTCCATTCCACGTGAACTTCTTATGAATTGATCTTTTCGAAGTTCCATCAACCTTTCTTGGTAGTTCAAGAACACTTAACTGTTTAACTGTAAAGAAGTAACAGTGGATATATAAGAAGGACGATAATGAGACACCTTGTCGACAGTGATCATTCAGTTTTAACAACCAACCCTTTCAAATTTATTCACAAAATGAAATGAAAATGCCGCTGACAGTGTAAATCTTTCTCCATTAACTTATGGGGAAAATTAGATGAAAATCGCCTTAATATGGTAATAACCAACTATTTCTACCTGTAGACAAATTTATTTTCGATAATTAGACTTTGAGTTCGGCTAGATTCACAGTCAGCTAATGATTCATATATCTAGATGAATTATTGTAATTTTTGGGATTACTTGAAACACTGGACAGCTGTTTCATCCTGGTTTAGAACGCCTTAACAGTGCATGCCAACATTCATGAAAAGAATCAATTTAGTGGCGATCCAGTTTGACATTGATGCCGATGAATAGAAAAACCTTGTGAAATATTATGCTCCAAATACAATTTAAATATACCCATTGACTAAACCATTTTTCTACCAGAAGATGTGTTGCAAATATATAGATTGACGGGTACTGGGTTCGAGTCCTAGTTGGAACAACATCACTCATTAGGATGTTGATAAATCTATCTGGTGAGCCCCAAATAGGACGAAAAGCCCCTTCTGGATTATACTGCTAGTTACTACCATGAATGTGACATGATGTACTAAGGTCACCTCGAAGAGGAGAAAAAGATATGCATTATAAAACGATCCAACATTTCGTTGAATTATTCATACAACCTTCTTCAGTTTTCCAAGAGGTCTTCAAATCTGATTCAACTTCTCAGTTTAATCAAATTCTTCAAAACAATATCCACTAGACCAGTGGATCTTGTTTCTTGTCACTACTATAATCTGACTTGTTTTCAGTAGATAAAAGTATATTAGCCAACAAAATACTTCAAAATAGCACTTTTGTATTTCAGTACAGTAAAAATTAGTTTTTCATGTCTTCTAGTCTGTTTACCTATACGTTTACTGAATAGAGACAACTATGAAGGTGAAAAGATGTTGACAAAAATGGATCGAATGTATGCAGTCGTCACTCGATAGTTGACTAACTTATCTCTATACCAACATCGAGGTTATCATAATCTATAACGTCTTATCTATCATCCAATCAATAGGACTGATATTAGTTGAGTAAAACAACTCACATGCATACTGATGTATATAAGCAAATAATTTGTACTGTTACATCTATACATATACTACTCATTAAACTATTGATAATCAGTACTCCTCTTTAACTATATTGGCATGGAATATCAACATAAATCATAGTAAAAACAATGTTGCTGATAATAATCTACCTGTCTTCCACCTGTTTGTTTTTCATTACAAAATAAAGAGTAAATGCTTAGGAAAGAAAATGCGCGTAAATACTTATTCATATACATATGTATATAGTGTCTTCCTTTTATTTACGTAGTATGTTATTCATTTCCCTGATTCATCAGGGAAACAAAACAAGTTTGAGGTAAATACACTTCTCAAAATCGAATTTCACTTAGGAAATGTGAGTGGATCAATTTTTACCCTGTGAAAACCCTCAGTACCACCAACAGTTAGTTGAGTATCCTTTTGATTTATTGAAGGCCATAAGAAGGATAACTCCTTAATGTACTTCTTCTGAATGCAGAGTTCATATTTGATCAGTCCAATTGCTTTAGGTTCAGCCAGGCAAGCGTGCTATGTTATGATCATTCTCCATTAAGATCACATTTAATTAATAGAACATGAACCTTAGGATGTTTAAAATCTCATAGAAATGTTGATCCACCGAGTATTTTTGTCTTAAGTATGAGCTAGAAGCAATGTGAAGGCTTTCATACATTGTTATCCCTAGTCTAAGGCGTTTATAAGCTAATACATTGAAAATCATCATACTTTCAGGTTGAAAACATTATGAAATACACTTGCACTGTGTAAAAACAATCCAGTTTTGATGCGAATACCTTTTTAATTCGTTTTTGAAAAACATTAGACCAATATGAATAAGTATAAAGTGATATTTCAGCTTGAAACATACCAAAAAGATCATTTTTTGGATATTGTAATTAGAAAACCTAGATTATCTGAAAAATGCGGTTTCATATTGAACAATGTGATCACTTGAATTTTGAGGGAGTTGTGAAGATTTGGAAATATTTCAAGTTGTTCTTCATCGTAGACTGACATCACCGTGGGTTCGATTTCTGGAGGGGTCGTGGGTGCGTACTGCTGAGGAGTACCATACTAGGATGAAACAGCTGTCCAGTGCTCCCAGGTTTCCTTTGTTCCTCCAATGTGATCACTTATCAAAAGGCATTTTATATGAAAACTGGAAATAGGGGAAAGATGAATATGATATAAACGCATTTCATCGGAACAGAATACAAACTGGGTTTCAACGATGAGTGACTTTGTCAGTGACGTATGAACTTCAATGAATATCCATTTTCTATTAATGTCTCACTTAATATTCTGATGTCATCACGCATTCAGTCTTCCATACACACGCATTAGATCCTTTTGAATGGAAACATTACCAAACCTCGCTTGTATTGAGTTAGGTAACAGGTAGAGAAGCTTAAATACTGACTTGTCCAGGTAGGTTTCTTGTATATCAACTATTTCATACAACCGTCTTTCCTGCAACTCAAGAGTATATCCAAAAACGGCAGATTGTTGTCTCTTTTGTCTTCATATGTTAAGCTTATATTGTTAGG